GCTTTCGCGTGTATCTAGAAAATAATTATTGAAATGTCAAAAATTATTAGTAAAAAACGTCTGCTTCCTTTGCGTTAAGTAGGAGACGGCAGATAGTTTGCAAAGTAGGTTCCTACGTGCCTTTATTTCACTTATTTATTAATTTCTTTCTTTTAAAGTGAATTTTAAAATTTCTCTTTTTAGTTGTGATGGTGTAAGCACGGGAGAAGGTGACTTGAAGTAAATGGGTTAAATTCGACCTTGGTATTTACATTTTTCGCCGTTTCAAATAATACCCTCCACACCGTTGGGACGAAAAACAACCTAAAGATTCGTGGGGAAAAATTACGCACTTTCCTCTCAACTTTTAATGATCCGTCGACGGCAAAGTGTGCAAACTCAATTTCTAAGGACGGTGAAGCAGGGTTCGGTCGAATTTAAACCCTCGCCTCAAACCCTCTTTTCCCTGTTTCAATCACATTTTATAACCCAGTGTCCATTCGTCAAAAGACACTCCCATGCAGGATATTCAAATTCGAAGGAGATTCTGGAAATAAGAGACACAAATCACTGCTTTGAGCACAAGCGAGCGCCAAGTACACAAGCGCATGAAAAGCACCCACCTAGGAAAGGAAATTGATTTTTGTCGATCTGCGTTGTTTAGTCTGCACGCCCCACAGTGGATCGAAACAATCAGAGAAGTCGGACATGCAATTCCGGACTAAAACTGCAAATTTCGATGTTTATTTCATCATATTTAAAATTTGATGGGGTTTTTCTTGAAGAAAATTTCACGAGAAGACCGATTAAACCACATTTAGAACCTTAAAATGTTGCATAAACGGAGTTATAAGCTTGTAAAGTTTCCAAATTTTGTCCGACCGCTCCTGTTGGATGGATCCACTGTGCGCCCGGGCCCGGGTCCCGCTACAGGAACTGGAGGGTACATCGCCCCCGACTCTCGATTCGGCTGGGGCGTGCGTGGCGCTCACATTTAATTTCCGGCTTTATTACTCATTATTATGAGAATTACATCTCTTTTTCCCGGGTCCGCCCGTGTCCAAGTCCGCCTTTGCCGCGCCTTCCTCAGCGGCGCATTCAGGAAGTTGGCAACGCTGTTTCTTCTCCATTTAAACCTGTGTAAAATAATCGATTCTGGGCGGAGCACCTGGCTTCTCCGAGGATAGATACATTTGCATAGGTTTAAATGGATAGGAAACAATATTGCCAACTTCCTGGATCCACCGATGCTATATTTTGGAAACCATTACCAGTGGTGTAATTTACCAGGAGTGTCCTCTTACCCGGAGAGCTATTCCCCCCTCCCCCCAGGATCCAAAGAGCAGTATCGGTCCCAGCGTACCGGTATTGGCATTATTCTCTCCTCCCATCGAAGATTAGAGGCTCTCTCCAAGGAATACATTTTGAAAACCGATCACGCCCGAGATGCTATATGTTGTCCAAATGCTGCGTTTTCCTGATATTCCATTCTCACGGAAAAAAATGACTGTGCGCGGATAACCATTGGTTTTGTTAATTAAAAGTTGGTGCCGTATACATGAAAAAATTGATAGAATAACCAACGGCATTGTATTGTCCACAACGTCTTTAGGGAAATCAATCATTTTCAATTAGTTGCTACTAGCTATTACAAATCTGTTCACCGAGACAAAATTGATGGTAAACTGCTCCATCAAGATGACTCATTGCACCAAAGAGTGCGCTTGCGCTTCACCTATCTTGTTTTTGGTTAATGCTACTCGGTTAAGTGGGCTCATTGAACTACAGAATGCGTTAGTGCAAATTATAAACTTGTTGATTATGAAGGTCACCATCTCAGATAACTCAATTAAAGTATATTTTGTTAGTAGTCTGCCCCGTCAATTTTTTACGCTTTACCAACATTGAGTCACCAAAGAAAGCAATCAGATATGGGCTGATTAGGGAAAGTATGTTGATAAATTTTCAAGAATTCATATTCAACCTACCTTGTGTGACTGATAAGCGTGTAATAATATGTTCGTGGAGCGTACTCCTTTTCCCGTCCCTGGCTCGGGCGACGGTAAAGTCGCCGCAAAACTATATGACTTCGAGCAATTAATTATTCTTGACTCTGCTCGGTTTTAATGATAATTAAAGGGCATTTATTACAACAAGTCAGAAACTCGGACGATGTTAAATTTTTCACTGATTTTAAAAAAAAAAACGGATTAAAACGAACTAAAATATTCATCAAAACCAAAAATTATTTCATTCTAAAAGTAAAGTATACCTCATATCGTAATTTTTGAGGGGAAAAATAAAACTAACACTGTAAGGAGGTAAAAGTAGGGCCGCGATGCGGCCCATTGATGGCGCGGAGCGCCCTCAGGGGGCTGGACCGCATAGCGGTCAGGGGGCATAGCCCCCTAGTATTTGATTATTTGCCTAGGCATTTGACAAAATGCCTAATTTTACTATTTGCCTGCGACATATCGATTGCAGTGTTTGAAAATTTCTTTCCTCCCCCCCCCTCCCCTTGGCACCAAGTTTTACGAAAACCCGACGAGCAGGAACCGAGATAGCGTTTTAGGCCACGCCCGCCACCTTGGTTTTTTGAATTTTCGAAATTAGACTAAAAATTCGAATTTAATCGATGGGAGCCGATGTATCAATTTAGGCTACGTCCGCCGTCTTAAATTTTCAACTTCAGAAAATTCAACTTGAAACGCATCATACCCAAAATCTAAGCTCAGATTCGGCTTCCTCGTGAAAAATCGCTGCTATTTCATGTATCATATGTTACCGTAGCATAAAGAAAAGACGGTAATCGTAGGCGTAAAGATTCTATCAAAGCCGGCCGGTATGCGGAAGTGAGCACAGAATTCAAACGTTTGAGCTATGCCGCCAGACGCCGGCGTCAAGCATTTGGTTCGTCCGTTTCCGAGAAAACAAACTTCTTCTTACTCATCAGCTGACCCACTCCAAATCACCCATGTTGCCACGTCGGACTGATATGTTAGAATCTACACGCACGTTAATCTCTTTCCTTCATGATATGGTGACATAAATGATACATGAAACTGCATCGATTTTTCACGAGAAAGCCGAATCTGAGCTTAGATTTCGGATATTATGCGTTTTAAGTCAAAGTTTCTTTTATCTATTTTAAATCACTCAGGAAAGTTTTCGGAAACTTATTAGAAAATCAGTGTGTATTCTTTTAAAAACATTGATCAAAAATAAAACATTGACGGTATTTGAATCCATTAATCTCCGAGATAACTTGAACACGGTTGTTCTACGACTTTTTACGTATGTTGTTTTCTTCCGCATTGGTTGTCGGCAGCGTAGCAGCCAAATGCCCCTGGTACTAATAATATTTTTCAAAATCAATTTTTTTCTACATTCAAAATTCCAAGGAAATGGAAGAAATTGATCAATTGTTACTAATTTTTTAACAATGTTTCTTGTCAATTGTACGCTGTCGTTAAGCTAAACATCCCAGGTTCATCAGTAGGCTAGGCATGCACTATATTTAACACCATGTCAAGGCTTCAGTACTTAAGAGGGGTAATTTTTTTATTTTCTATTCTACATAATCTCACTTGTTCAAGTAAGTAGCCTGAGCTTATTTGTCCAATGCTAGAAGCACTTTAGCCAATCATAAAAATAATCCTAGTTTGAAAATTTTGAATTGATTCTCGACACGAAAAGAAAAAAAGAAAAAATAGATAAATAAAATGCAGTTATAAATAACAACGAAGAGATATTTAATGAATTATAAAAATTAAAATGAAGGGACTGAATTAAAGTAAAAAAAAATAAAAAATTGCAAGAAATAAAATAAAGTAAGTAACGGTAAAATACAGAGAAGAAATAAAGAATAAATAATCAAAGAAAAATAATATTAAGTAAAGAAAAAACAATGAAGTAAAGCATTAAAACTAAGTACCTAATGAAACAAAGGAAAAAAATTAAAATAAAGTAAATAAATAAAAAAGAAATAATCAAAGAAAAATTATATTACGTAAAGAAAAAAAATAACCTTTACAGGTACCTAAGTTTCATTTTTAGAAACTAATGATATTAGTATTATTGCATGAGTTCAGATTATTTATTCTTGTCCTCGAAAAGGATTTCCACACTTTATCGCTTCTATTTTCGTGTCACTGCTAGCTGCCAAATTTATGTGAGCAAAAAACTAGAAAAAGTGCTCTTGAAAAACATTTATTTACTTTGAATATGTCTGGTTCCCGGAATAATTGACCGAAAAAATTTGCAATTTAAAATTTTTTCAAGTTGCTTTGGTCAAATCCCCCCCTCCTCCCCCCCATAAAAAAATATGCTCCCCTCTTTTTTTGGAAGTTGGCGGGAATCATCAACCAATCAGAGGAGGCGACATTNAAAAAAAAATAAAAAATTGCAAGAAATAAAATAAAGTAAGTAACGGTAAAATACAGGGAAGAAATAAAGAATAAATAATCAAAGAAAAATAATATTAAGTAAAGAAAAAACAATGAAGTAAAGCATTAAAACTAAGTACCTAATGAAACAAAGGAAAAAATTAAAATAAAGTAAATAAATAAAAAAGAAATAATCAAAGAAAAATTATATTACGTAAAGAAAAAAAATAACCTTTACAGGTACCTAAGTTTCATTTTTAGCAACTAATGATATTAGTATTATTGCATGAGTTCAGATTATTTATTCTTGTCCTCGAAAAGGATTTCCACACTTTATCGCTTCTATTTTCGTGTCACTGCTAGCTGCCAAATTTATGTGAGCAAAAAACTAGAAAAAGTGCTCTTGAAAAACATTTATTTACTTTGCATATGTCTGGTTCCCGGAATAATTGACCGAAAAAATTTGCAATTTAAAATTTTTTCAAGTTGCTTTGGTCAAATCCCCCCCTCCTCCCCCCCATAAAAAAATATGCTCCCCTCTTTTTTTGGAAGTTGGCGGGAATCATCAACCAATCAGAGGAGGCGACATTCTCCTCCAGATCCAAACCCAAACAATAATATAACCTCTCAGCCGTCAGCATTGCGTCAGCCCATGTGAATTTGAAACAAGTTTGATAGTAATCTGTTCTTATCTCTTATCAGTGATCGCTCTTTATTATTGATAACTTCTTTATCTGACAATGAAACTGTAATTTGTTTCGAATCCTGGTCCTTTTTCTCTTGTAAAATTAGAATTTTTGCCGTCAAGCCATTCACTATGCAAATCTCCTGATTTCGACTACTTATTCGCAGCTCAACTTCCTTCGTACGTTCTCTTCAAAATGAGCCTACAGCTGGTCAGAACTTTGCTGAAACACTCCGTAGAGTTGGGCGGATTTGGAAAAGTTTTAGAGAAGGTGAGCTTTGGTACATGTATATTTTTGAACTTCACAGATAAATGTCCTGGCCTAGGAAGTAGTTTTACGGCATTTGACCTCTATTGTCCTTGATAGTTCAAAATTTTGAAGCGGTCTGCAAGTTGATGAAGGGCCTCCATGTGGAACAATCTGAAGTCCACTAGTCAACCATCACTGATGTCATTCAAAGTTGGTGAGCAGGGTGTCAGTTCATCATTACAAGAAAGTCATTTGAAGCGTTTCTCCTTCCCACTATCCGTTTGCAAAATATTGTCTGTAGAAGTTCATACGATGTTTAGCAATTCCCAATTTCAGCGACGGTAGATGGCGCGCGAATCACACTTTTGTGTCATGCCTCAGGTCATATCCATGACTGCGTTTTAATGCCGTCTTGGATTTTGCGGCATGTTAAGTTGGGATCACTGCGGAGTGTGATCTGCTGATGAGGTCTGATAAGGCCCAAACCGGTATAGATCTCTCGGCGTGACTCCAACTTAATATTCCAATGCAAACTGCCTGAGCTGAACACTCTCCCCCCTCAGTTTCGTACTGGTACGAATTAGAGTTCAAAAATTTAATTTTGACTCTAATTTTAATTTTTGGAATTTCTTGGCTTTGTTTCCCCGCGAAATGGTGTGAACCCAGCACCATTTCTGCACCTTGCTACGCACAGTTCGGGCCACTTCTTAGTTTTTTTTTGTTTTTTTTTCATAATCCTAATAAATTTGTAATGAAGGTATAAATATTTACTCATATACATGAGTAGATAGAGAGGTGAGTAGAATTAGTTCAATTATAAAGTAAGTAAAGAGTGATTTATCAATATACAAGTGCTGATTCAAGTACGAGTACTTACATCACTTAAATATAAGTAAATTGAAAGACATCGATTTGATCCCAAAATCCTTGTGTGTTGGGTCTTTTAAAATGGTGTTGGTTGCATTTCTAAAAACTTACCATGCTACTTCCTCTGAATATCCAGTTTTCTTGTATTCCTTAAGTTTATTTAATTTTTTTACTCATACTTAGTTGAAAACCTTTTTTTATCCTTGAAGATCAACATAGTATCTGCCGGTGAAGGGCAACTCACAGCTGAGATGAAAGTTGAAGAGGAACACACCAACTACATGGAGACTTTACATGGAGGTTTAAGTGCAACGATAATTGATAATTTATCAAGTTATGCGCTCGTTACCTATAAACCCAATCAAAACAGAGGAAGCTCCATAGATTTGAAAATTTCGTAAGTTAATTCACAGCTGTCGTTTTTATTATCCTCAACTCATACTCTTTCATATTTTCATGCTTTGGTGATCAAGGTAAGTGTCGTGTCTGTTGATCATGGGAAAATTGTTGCTGAAATGAAGGTTGAAGCAGAGCATCTGAATGTTTATAATACTCTCCATGGTGGACTGATAGCCACCATAGTAGATGTAATTCCGTCACTTGGACACTTTACTCATCCAAATGGGGCCAGAGGTGGATCTTCTGCTACAACAAATTTGGATATTTCGTAAGTGTTTTTAGCCTTTTTTGGTAGTCCGTACCAGTTGGGAGGGTCAAATGTAGAGCAAACCTTTGTACAAATGGTACAGCTTTAAAAACATACTTTCCCTTGTGCGTTGATGTATCTCCTATTATCTGTTACTTACTCTTCTGAAGGACAAAATCACTATAATTAAATCGATCATTTACTGGCGGGGGAGGGGGGGAGTCTAGCACCTCGAAGTAAAGACCAGAACTCAACTAATTTATTAGAAATTCCATGTCAGAAATGAAAAGTTAATTTTCAGGAGGGTGGATTTCCCCCTCCTTGAATCTCAACAAGATGCGTGGGGCATGCTACCTCTGCCCTCTTGAACCGCTCATCAATATTGATGGCCAAAATGGGAAACCTCTTACTTCCGTCTACAACTCCATTGCAGACATCCTGTCATATATCATTTTGGTTTCGAAAACCAGTCAACGTTTTTTCTTGATAACTTCCTCGATTTTTCCTTCACTGTCAGCAGAATATTCTGTGTAAATTTCAAGCTATAAAGGTCTGTTTCTCTTTAGAAAAATAAATTGGAAGGAAAAATTTTAAATCACCAAAATGGAGATATGTTGTTTCGTACTTTGACCATTGATGCGCCTCTGAAAAGATAAAACTTATGATAATTTGATTTACCTACGCATCACCTGAGTACTCGACATTTTTTGTTTTCTATAGTCCAAGAAGTATTTTGCAATAGAAAAGTTGCAACTTAATGGAGTAGTTAGTAAATAATTACTCCTTCCATTGATTTGGACACTCGCCTACTTTTGGACTTATCTTTCTGTTGGACATCATTGATGTTTGGCCTTTTTGGATTTTTGGACATTCTGGGTTTGGACATTTTGACCTAGCACCCAAGAGATCGTGTACTATTGCTCTATGATTGCTCTAGATGCTCTAATTTTGCAACTTCATCGCAATTTTTCTATAGTCTCATTGCAAGGCGTACTGTACCTCTTGGGTAGTAGCTAAAGGAAGGAGGGGTAGAAAATTAAAGAGATTATGAAATGATCTGATTGCTCTTTGTTTGAAGTTTGATACCAAACAGTCGAAAAGAAGTTACAAAAACACATCCAGAAAAGTTTAAATAAGTTAAAATAAAGATGTCATACAAGTCTTGACTCAAATAATTTTTTGACCTAAGATGAGTTACTAAGAATGCATTGTTCCTATGCTTCTCATTTCAATGATCCATTTTCCAAATACATTTTGGCTTTATACTTTCCTCGGATTCAAATTTTGCACCACATTTTTCTTTGTTTTGTTCTCAGTTATTTAAATTCTGCCAAGGTGGGAGACGAAATAGTGATAACAGCCAACACTGTCAAAGCCGGTAAAACTCTAGCATTTCTTGAAGCTAAGATCACTGAAAAAACATCAGGAAAAGTCATAGCAACCGCCACTCACATCAAGTTTGTCAAGGATTGATCAGCGATCTCTCATTCGCCTCATTTAGATTAAGTCCTCAAATCAACTGACTGATCAATAGACTGATCTTCGGTAACTGAAATTTGTTTTAATAAATAAGTTACTATGATTTCAGTTTACAGTTAAAAGTCGCNGGGGGGGGGGGGGGGGGATAAAATAACTTTTCCTTTTGACATCCAACAAGTATCTTTCATTTTTCTTTTCATCGTAGACCTTGCCAAGAAATCTGAGGTAGCTATCAGAAGTAGCTTTGAACTGCTTTTCTTTGTTTTACATAATTTGCCTTCTTCAGTTTCCACTAAAATACAAAAAATTGAGGACTTTTTTTTTCATGTATCTCTCTTTTGTCTGTGTGGTTTGCCAACTATCTGTGATATAATTTATTCATTGTAAATAAAGGGCTTGCCTGCAATCTGATCGAAAGTTAAAAAAGTAAATGAAATTTTGTCTGTCGAGAAGTATTTTCATTTGTGGCTTTGAATTCTTTCCAATGCTCTACAGCAAGGGTAAGTGACTGGGGAAAGGTTTACTTACAATAGGCTATGGGAATGATGTCAGAATGTGCAGTGAAAATACCTTTGAATAGCAATCTTTATTAATTCTAGTTTTTCAGCTAAAACTTATGAAAACTAATTTAACGCAAAATATAGAAAAACCATTCAAAATATTTCTTACCAGAGATCGGTATGATGTCTTGGCAAGGTCTGTATAGTAATGAATAATTAAAGATTTTGGAAACGAAAGTAAAAATGTATTTGACCCTACTCTACAGGTGAAATGAAAATATGAACAATGAAAAAAGCAAAAGAAAAACTGTCTTCTTTCTTTTGCCTTGATGTGGATAACGAGCAGCTCCAATGTGCTGAAGTATGTAAATGGTTGACTGAGTCAGCCAGGTAAGAGGTTAATTAAGAAGCACACAGCTCCGTTCCTCCATCAGCAGACCGTAGATCATTGATCGGAGAATTAGAGGGGGCATAGGGTTTTTATGGCGGCTGTTGAGATTAAATTTTCAACACCTTTTTTAGGTATGGAACCGTCTCACTCTCAGATACATATCTGTTCTAGAACTAAGTTATGGCAAGACTCCTTAAAATTTTGTAGAAATTTAAATTTTTTTACTGAAAAAAATCCAGCAAAATAATGTTCAAGGTCAATTTTTAAATTGATTTAAAAAGTTACTCCGGTTTTTATGCATCTTTGTAGATAGTTAATTGATAATAACCGGGAATTGTTATCATTTTGTTTAACCCTAGAAAAGCTGAAAAATGTTCACCATTTAGTCTACCCTTCTTCTAATTGAATATGCAGCGTCATTTTGCATATCTTAGATAGGGATGTCTTAGTTTTTAGGTATAGTTCTTCAACTTAACCAACATTTGAATTTATTGATGGAGAGAAGAAAGAATTTACTGTTTTGGACGGTGTAGCTTTTAATTACACATTATATCCAAGCCCACTGAATAGTCTAGTCAATTTTCATTTGCTGTGGTAAAAATTTAGGTTTAAAATTCATCTTCAAGGTAAATATCTTATCCAAAGCTTTCCAAAGGAAGAATGTTGTATTTCTCTTTAACAATGAAGAAGGAGAGAATTGAGGAGTTCTTTGGCATAACCACGTATAACGAAAAATATGGTTGTGAGAAATACGCTATTGAAAGTTTGACAGTGTATATTTTCGAAACTACTCAACCGATTTATAAAAACTGAAGACTTTTTTAAAGCTCATACTATCTAGAATTATTTTACAGAAGCACATGATCCTAAATTAACAGACGCTTTTGAGTAAACGAATCTGCTAAATAAATAATTATACGTGGTTTTAACAGAGATCGACTTCGAATGGGTATTTGTCTAATTGATTTTAATTTTTCAGGAGTTAGAGGATAGATGAAAAAAAAGTAAATGTTAGTATGAATAATGTACCTTGTATTAGGTTCAAATAGTAAACAAAAAGTTTTAATATTCGCTGATATCGTCATCGGAGAGATCAGAGGGCCCTTGCCCATCGTCACCTGGAACGCTGTTTTTGAAGAGGATGTTTAACCAGGTCCTCGCCTCTTCATTCAAAAACTCATAGAGAGCTCTGACATCTGCTATTTTGGCCGGTTTCAAAGGTGGAAGAGTCGCTTGTGAGGGTTTTATGTCCAACTCTTGACGGGTAATATCGGCATGCTTCCAGTACTGGAAGTCCTCAAAATCGGGAGTGTACGTCTTAGAGGCTGAAATAGTTCCGTCTGGCTTGTATTTCAGCATGCAATATTTTTGAAGAGTAAAGCAACTATGCTTCTTCGTCGGTTTTCTCTTAAAAAAAGGACGCAATACAGTTTCCCATTCTTTAAAAAACGATGGGTCCCACGTGCTCCAATAGGGGAAAGGCTTTTCTCGACTTTTCGCAATGATTTTCAGATACTCCTCAGCAGTCTGAATAATGGGTAATTTTTTCAACTTTTTACCGTAAATCCCGAAATAACGATCGCAAATCGAGTAACTGTGCCCGCGAACAGGGTAAACATGCAGTATTTCGACGGCATACACTTCCGAAAACCAAGCACAAAAGCACATAAGCAAGAAGTTCTTATTTTGGCCACCACATGCGTCACTGAATAAAATTGCGCATTTAAATGGCTCACGGTCTATGAGTTCGATCAGAGAACGATACACTAAAGAAATGACAGAATTGGTGTTTTTTTTGGCCTCCGATTTCATACAACCGTACATGAAAGAGTGTGGACAATTGTGCACGTGCACATTAAATATGTAAAACCAAAATAAATGTTTATAAAATTGTTTGGTGCAATTTAATTTCGGCACTGGCAAATTTTGCGCATAGTCAAACTCCAGAATAACAGTATTGGGATCACTTTCATACCCCCCGATGAGGTCACTTTTGAGTTGATTGTACGATTTAACTTTTTCCTCATGCAAATTATACCGAATTTTGCATTCATGATTAGAAAACCACGTTTACGCGTATACGTGGTTTTTCCGGAGAACGTCTCGGATGAGGAGGTGCGTGTGTTCGGACCGGCTTAACCTTAATAATTTTTCATCAGAAACATATACAAACTATTTGTACCAACAGCTCAGAGTCAGAGGATTTAGTAGAACCGATCTCCGAAGAAACGGCGTATACGCGTATACGTGGTTATGCCAAAGAACTCCTCAATTAAAACATGGGTAAACAAGGCTAAAACATTAAAAACACTAAAAGGCAGGACGTTTTGAGCTGTTCCTGCCTTTTAGTGTTTTTAATGTTTTAGCCTTGTTTACCCATGTTTTAATTCTCTCCTTCTTTATTAGTATATTCGGGCTTTGTTTTTGTGCTTGACTGTTTCTCTTTAACCTGATTGAATAATTTAGTATTTTAAGGCTCAAGCAGCCCAATTGTTGAAATATATATCGGCAAGACAAGAATCAAAAATTGATATATTACACGGCGCAGATAGGGCTGTGTCTTTTCTTGTCTCATCTTGCCAACAAAGCCAGTTAAGGCTTCAACAATCAGGCTGCTGGAGCCTTAAAATACTGAATTATTCAAAAAAGCTCATGCTGTTTTGAACAATGATTAGCATCTACGAAGTATGTGGTTTGCTACTTTTTCCAAACACAGATTACCACTAATTATTGGTATTCACCACACTAGTGCAAAAATAGTAATTTGAACATGTTCCTGTTTTAGCACCTATGTAGGACCCCAAAATCTAATACTTGTAATAAGTAGTAGACGGAAAGGCAATTTTTAGGATGAAGATCATGTTTGCTTTCCCTCTCAAATTATTACTCGTAGGAACATTTCAATTACCCAGGTACTTCAATGAATTTCTTATGATTGTAGTTGTGATTTGGGTCTTCCTTTATTCAATTTAAATGTGATTTCCTATGGAGGTTGATTTTCCTGATGCTAGATGTAGGTGCAAGAGAAATGAATGTCAAAAAACTTGTAACCTTTAAGGATCTACATAAAAAAATGTAGATTTTATACCCAATAATCTTCAAAGAAGACTCCAAAGTTCCCCTCTCTTTCAGGCTAACAGTCACTATCAAAAATGTATTTAACAAGGATTTAATTAAGTTTTAATATTTTCCTTTCATCTTTCGTTGAATTGTTTTTACAATGCAAAATAATGTTTTAGAATAATAATTTTCTCAAAGAATTTGTACTTTTCTTCCTTTTTTTGTATGATTATATCCTTCTTCTGAGGCTTCTATAAATTTGATTAATGATGAGGAAGGTACCTGAGTACCCACATAATATTTTAATTCATTGACAAAAAAAATTTTTTAGAAAAGAAGAGAATGTTTATTTTCATATCACTCGTAAAAATGACACTTTTGTAAAAATCATACAAATTCAAAATAACAAAAAACCTGTAAGAAAATCCTAACAATTAATTTCTATCACAATTGCTTGAAAATTAGGTAACAGAATATACATCATTCTGTGAATTGTCTCACAAAAATTTGATGTGAGCGCTTAAAAATTTTTCCCACATTTTTTCATGCGCTGAAATTTTGTTTTCATTTTCAATATTTACAAAATGAATTCGTTGAAAAGTAACAAGAAAAATATAAAAAGAAAGAATGTGACCACTGATATTAATGCTTCAAGGGAAACTTTATACATTTGATGACTTGAACAAAACACATTAGCGGTTAAATTCACAAATCACAGTTTCCTATTGAAAAATTAAAGTATGACATGAAATCTCTCACATTTCACCATCAAAATAGAATAATTCAAAACGGGGAAAAAAGGTAGTGATGTTTAAATTAAGTCTAATTTGATCGTTGATTACAAGTCATTTAAAGAGGTTTTAACTCTGCCAGTTACAAGAGGCATGGTTCATTTTTGCCTTTACGAGTCGAAAGAAGCAGCATAAGCAATTTATGCAATATGCACATGGGACAAGCAATTTATGCTGTTCACACCATGGTTGGGTATTGCTTGTCTCCTCAGTCAGGATTAAAGCCTGAATATTTGAGGTTATAGTTGATACATGGATCGCATTTAGCAAAAGGGAACCAGCGCGACTACAGAGTTGCAAAAATGTTGCTCCTTCATAATTATCCACAAAATCTCTTGGAATAGCAAATAGGTTTTGCTTTCCACCCAAAAATTGTTAACTTTAAAGGAAAATAGTTACGTAAAGTTCAATACTGGGCATAGATTTTAAGTATTTTTGAAAGAAAAGGGGAAGTTGCACGATTTTGAAAACACTGTAATTAGGCTAGTTCCTTTTTGCTAAATGCGATCCTCTTATTCAATGTTTTCAGAATTTTCCATCGTCAACCTTTCACTACGCAGAGTTAGTGAAATCTAAGTCTTGAAGAGTACAAGAGTATTATATATTATGATGATGAGGCAGGATACATACTACACAGATAGGGTCTGGGACCAATATTTCATTATGAGCTTCTCCCCTGCCCAGGAAAACGAGCACAAAAACGTTGTCACGTCGTAACAACAGTATTTTTGAGACAGAGCGTTGTGACAAAGTTTTTGCACACGTTTTGCCAGGCAGGTTTTTTTTTTGCCAAAAAGAGGAGTTTGGCACTTTTTCTCTGCCTGAATCAGTGGACGGAATATCCTGAAATGAAAATTTCAAACTAAATACTCATACGACGAAATTAAGAAAATACATTAGATAAAGTAACAGGGTCGAATTTAGAAGGAATGTTTAGGAAGCTGGAGTTCCTAGCAGCAAATTATGGAAACGAGGTGGAAGAGTTCAAAGGTCATCTTATTTTTTCTTTTTTCCATCTTTCTTTGCAGTGCAGTAAAATCACGCACAATCGGAAATCAATAAGGGCTATTTCTCTTGAAATTTGGGGGTGGCAAAATCGCAAATGCAGCTCTAGAAAGTATAGGAAACTACATATTTCATCAGATTCCCAGAATTTACAGCAATATCAGTTTCTCATCCTCATTGAAAGAGAAATTATGAATACCTAGCTAGATTATCCTCTTTCAGACTAATTTTAGTTTTACCATTTTCAATTTTTTTTTTCATTGAACTTCAGAGAAGAGACTTAAAGAAAGTCAAGATTGAAAAAGGAATCTGAATTGTAAGGAAGATTGGGCTGGGTTGGTAGCAGTTTGAGGGAGAAGAACGAAACAAGTTCCACGCAGGTTTCAGAAGGGTTTCTGAAAGCCTTTAATTTCTGCTCATTACTTTGGCACTCTTTACTGAAAATTAGGTTATAGGACTTTTGGTCCAATTTTTTTTGTCCACAAATTTTTTCGTCCAATTTATTTTGTCCACGACTTTTTGTCCTTGAAATCTGGTCCAAGTTAAATTCGTCCTGGTAAATAGTTAGTCCTACGCATTTGTTCGTCCAGTGGCATTAGGTCACATTTCTGTGGTCCAGTAAGGTAAAAAAGTTATGTCCAAAACTCACGTCCAATGAGGCAGTTTCAGCTATTTCCTTTCAGCTTTCAGCTACTTTCAGTCATCGTCTGAGTCTTCTTCGTCCGAGTCCGGTGGATCTGCGCGTGGCGTGTGAATCAATTGGCGTTAAGATCAATTTATTTCGTAGCTATGGAGACCCTTAAATTTAATCCCAACATCGAAAGAAAAAACATCGAAGAGGTTATTTTAAAATTTTCGTTCAAAATTCAATGACTGTATATATTTTTGTTTTGAAATTTTATTAGTATGTGTGACGTTTGTTGATATACTGAAATGGCTCCAACAGTGATACAGAGTAAACGCGACAAGCCCCTCCTTGTCAATGAAGGGTTTGTGTACCATCACCATTCGTACAATAAAGATAGGACGAGAAAGTACTGGAGGTGTGAGAGGAGGCAAACATGCAATGCGAGATGCGTCACTAATACGAACATGGAAGAACTAGTTGTTTATAAGTGCGATATCTCAACTCATTTGCATCTCCCGGATCATGCTGCAGTGGAGGCAATGCAGATCGTGCAAAATATTCGACAATTAGCAGCTGAGCAACCGAATGCAAGACCCAGCGACGTTATAAGAACAGGGGTAGGAAACGTTGAAGAAGAAGTCAGCGTCAAACTACCGGAGGAAAATCATCTTAAGCGTATGGTTAACAGAAGACAGAACAAGGAAAGGCCGCGTTTACCAGGTCCAAATACGGTAAATTTTGAGATAACCGCTCCTTATGATAGAACTCGATCTGATCAGCTATTTTTACTGTACGACAGTGGCCGTGAGGGTGCCAATCGTACACTGATCTTTTCCACCAGTGAGAATCTTAGGATTTTGACACTTCTGACTGATGGAACTTTTAAAGTTGTACCGCGGCAATTCCTTCAACTGTACACTCTGCATGGAGTCATTTTGGACACTGTCTTCCCATTTGTTTTTGTTTTGACGACACGAAAAGATGAGGGCACCTATGCAGACATATACCGTCAAGTGAAGGACATAGCAGCCGAACTAGATATTCATTTCAGCTTTCAATTTTTAAATACTGACTTTGAAGCAGCAAATATAAACGCGGTAAAAGAAGCATTCCCCAACGCTCGCATCGTCGGTTGCTTATTCCACTTTTCCCAGTCCTTATGGCATCAGATTGTTAGCCGAGGGCTGCGGGCCGATTATTTAAATACAGAAGAACCCGAGTTATGACGTAACTTACTGGAACTCATGGCTCTGCCGTTCATCCCTCCTGCAGATTTGGTGGAAACTTTCATTTTTCTCTATGAGGAAATAGACGACGCTTTAACCGAATTTGCGACGTACGTTGACCACACGTACGTGCGTGGCAAACCAGCTCGGGGAAGAAGACGTGCGGTACCTCCCCTGTTCCCTCCTGAAACATGGAACGTCTACAACTTAGTTTTGGCAGATCGTATTAGAACAAACAACGCAGTTGAGGGCTTTCACTCAAAATTCAACCAAATCGTCGGCACGCATCATGCTAACATTTGGAAGCTCATTGACACTTTTAAAAAGGTTCAACAGGACACAGAGCGTACACAGGCTCGGGGGGGTCATCGCCGCTTTAAACCACCGGTGAGCAAGAAGTACACTACCAATCAGGCAATGATTGCCAACATCGTCCGAAATTACCAACATTACAAGGACACGAACTCACTTAAGAAGTGCCTCCGAGCATGTGCGTACCACCTCAAGTTGCACACGCCACGCGCAGATCCACCGGACTCGGACGAAGAAGACTCAGACGATGACTGAAAGTAGCTGAAAGCTGAAAGGAAATAGCTGAAACGGCCTCATTGGACGTGAGTTTTGGACATAACTTTTTTACCTTACTGGACCACAGAAATGTGACCTAATACCACTGGACGAACAAATGCGTAGGACTAACTATTTACCAGGACGAATTTAACTTGGACCAGATTTCAAGGACAAAAAGTCGTAGACAAAATAAATTGGACGAAAAAATTTATGGACAAAAAAAATTGGACCAAAAGTCCTGTAACCGAAAATTACTAATGAAAGAAAAAATGCAAGAAATTAAAGAACTCTGCTTTCGTTGAATTTATCCAAAAAGGAAAAACTTCATCCATGAACTATTTTTGACACCTTCAATCAAAGTCCTCCAAGTCAAATTGTTCATAATTTGATTCAGACATGGGCAAACAAGAATAGTTAAACAGCTAATGGCGATAAACTGAAACGATGACATTTTGCGCAAAAATTACTGTCAGTTTGTTTTTTTAACATCTTCACCATCTGGCTTTGTGTCATCTTCTTCAATAAAAGTGACAGGAACAACACAATTGCTAGGGAACCACCCTTTTAGTCTTTTGTTTCCTTGCGTCGATACTTCACCAAATAACCAGTATCTAAAATCAAATAAGAGAATCGATTTGAAACAAGTCGCATTGAAATGAAAAAGTTCTAATATGTACACTGTATTCTTCAACAAGGGAAAAAAAAGAAATGGCCCGATCTGTAGGTAACAAGGTGGTGGAATGGTGCTGGGTCCACATCATTTCGCGGGGTAAAAGCTAAGAACTTCCAAAAATTACAATTAGAATAAAAAAATTGTTCAACTCTGATGAGAACCTCCACAAAACTGAGGGGGGAGAGTGTTCAGCTCAGGCAGTTTGCATTGAAATATTACGTTGAGTTCACGCTGAGAGATCCATACTGGTTTGTGTCTGTTTAGACCTCATTAGTAGATCACACTCATCAGTGAATCCAACTTAGCATCCCGCAAAATCCAAGACAGCATGAAAACGCCGTCATTCTTTAATAAGTATATACAATGGTAGACCAATAAAATTAAAATGTCAAAATTTAGGTTCACTGAAATGCAATAGACGTCATACTAACTTGTCAGGCTGGTAAACAAGGGGGTGTAGGTGAAAAGCTTGCATCGCTAAAATGGTATTACCGATATTTTTAACAAATCAAATTTGGTCGGAGTCCTGACCAACTCCTTTTGGCATGGAGAGAAGGTTATAATAGAACATTAAATTTTAATCTGATAAAATAAAAAAACATAAAAATTAGAGGAATTTTACTTCATCCGACAGTGACTCTTATACTTCCTCCAAAAAGTGACAAAAAATTAAATAGCGATTAACAGTAGGCTGGCTGAATAGCAGAGTTCTTTAAAACTTCGTTACTTGTCATTCAGCCTTATGGCTTCTAATAAATAGAGCCACTATACAATAAGTACAGCAAGTCAGGTCGCAAGGAAGACTTAATTAATTAAGAGAAAATAGACTTACTTTTTCCACCGGGTAACTGATACTGTTTGACCCACTTCTAAAGGTATTCTTGCCTCATCAGAGAACGGAGGCCTACAGAGAGTGCAGACACCATGACGGCACGGGAACCAACTTCCATCGAATTTTTTGAGAACAGTGTATGGTCTAGTGTGTAACCTTTTGATTATCTTTTGTCTTTGTTGCTCGACCTAAGGTGAGAATGAAATGAAAAATTTAAATCAAACTAGAAAGGGTTAATAATACAACCAGGAGATCTGAGAAAAGGCAAGAATTGGAGACAGAATCAGGAAGGCAAAACAGGAATTTTAATTTCATATCAACGGTGAAGCTACCAGACCTTGTGTCTCCTATGCAGTGTTAAAAAACCTCGCTTCCATTTTATTTTTTGAAGGAAAAAAAATCAATATCATTCCTTGCAAGCTTTTTCCAACAGGGGGGAAAAATCACGGAAGTTTTCAAGAATTGACGTTGAGTAGTTTTCCATTCAAAAAATAAAGATTGACAGGAAGTCTACAACACCACAAACCAAGATATGTCGTCTGGTAGTCACACCATCGATATACATCAGAGCTATGTTGTATCCAATTTTCACTCCATGTTTTTTAACGTTAAGATTCTCATTCTTGCATTCGTAGGGTATTGTCAAGGTTGATCTGTTAAATAATAGAGAGAATCACTCTATTACTTCGATAATAAATAACCTCTGAAAGCTAGACCTAGAAAAGATACTCTCTTGCCTCATCTTGACGTTAATTCTACCTTTACTGTGTCATTAAAATGGCAGAGAGGATCCATCTTTGTCTTAAGAAATGACACTAATGGAAAGAAAAATTACTTTCATACAATTCTCATGGGTAAAAAGAGAGAATATGTAATCATCCAAAAGAATCATAGTATCTTTGAATAGCATCTAACCTGAAAGAAAATGGGAATGATTTGCCCCAAAGAGGGATGATAATGTTCAAACGGAAATGATCAAATTAGTTTTCATCCAGTTCAAAACAAAAAATTTGTGAGAAAATTTCTTGAATGGCTGAAAAATGTTAGAAACTGCTTTAAGTATAGCAGAGATAGAAGAAGGAAAAAAATTGGGTCAGTTGAGCTCATAAGTCTGTAGATAGTTGATTTCCACAATTTTGGGCCTAAAAAAAGCAATGTGAACGGTAAAACCACATAAAAAATAATTCCCGCAGAGATATGACGCTTCCTTCCGTCGAGTCCTCTGACAGCAATGCCGCATGCTGCTCTATATTTTTCCATTCTTCCACAGATTCTACCATCGTATTAATCAAGCTAAAATCCAAAAGCAACAAATGCTCGTTTCAAATCTGGTCTTCAGCTACCCTATTTTTTTGCACTTTTGAGTGAACTGCTTGCCCGATTGTCATCAATAAAATAGGGAAGAAAAAAGTAAGCTCAGCTCACTTAATACTTTCAAATGACACAGTAAAAAAAATCAGATTCAACTAACTTATTATTTTAAACTTACTGTTAATGTGTACTGATCACATTCTTCCAAAACAGGCCAATGAATTCCATCCCCAACAGGTTCGCACTTCCAGTTAATGACCTGTTTATAACAGAAATTAAAATCTTCTTTTAATTTCTGGAACAAAAACTACTTAGCAGATGGTTATTTTTCCTAACTTAGGCTACTAAAAGGTAACTTCTTTGATAGCTAAACATGCTGAGGAAACCAGACTAAAAGAAATACAATGCACTGAACACTTAAAATATGAGCGTCTTGTGTTTTCTAAAGTACCAATAGCAAATTGCACAATACAACTGTTGATCAACAGAATGCAAATTCACCGGTATTTCCTTCTCAACTCTTCATTTCAGTTCTATAAAAATCCTCCTCAAAAAGGACTGGAACATTTGTACGTGGCAAAAGTGACTCCCAAATCGAAATTAAAGTATATCCTGTCTATCCTGTCCTGTATTTTAAAAGTTTTTTTAAAATTGATGTTAAATTTTCTGCTTTTCATACAAATAAGTCAATAAAATTGGCAAAAATCACCAATATCAGATTGATCAGATTGTAAATTTGTACCTAAAACACACCCTAAGAAAATATGCATGCCTTCTCAACTCACTCTTTTAATTCTCTGTGAAGATCCGAACAACATACTTGAAGGAAATTTTTCTTCATGCCCAAATCATATGGGTAGACGAAAGGAGGGTCTTTCTTATCGCGTCGCCTATGTTTTGCTTTGTCACAAATCCATTCTTCAATCCCAGTGCGATTAGTCAAAATTGTTCGAAGCTGAAAATAGAAATTGATAAGAAACTTATTTAACTTAATGAGGCAAGTTCCATGAATAATTCATTAGTTAGGTAGATGGAAAAGATAATATTTAACCAAGTTTGAAACTTCATCAAAATAGGAAAGCAAAAATTTCAGGGGATTTTAAAAATACATATAAATGAGAAAAAACAAAGAAATGGACAAACAAACTAAACATTTTTTTTTAGAAGAAGAAAAATAATTATATTTTTGTTTTCGTAATTTCACTCAAGAGAGTCTAGATTAGAGCTAAGAGCTAGAAAAAAAAGTAAATTGAGAATATGTAAGATTTGCAAAAGAATGTAGCATTGAAGGACTGGTTTTTCATAACTAAGGACTGTGTGTTGCTTGTTTATTTCTGTGTGCAGGTTGATCATAAACTTTTTTTTCCATCATAACTGAGTTGGGCCAGCTGATTCATACCAATATGGCTTTCTACATGACTGTCTCTTATGATAGCGCATCTTCGCATCCTAAGATTCAAATAAAACAAAGGAAAGCAAATAATCATACTACTTATTTACTGCAGTATAATTTTTCTCTAGATCGGGCACACTTCCAGTTCTTCCAGAGTGAGACATGTTTGAATTCATGATGAAAATAGATTCTAACATGTATGCTGCGCATCTCTGAATATTCTTTTTTTGCCTCACTTGTAATTTACAAAATACAAAATTGATGTTTCTAGAACTGATGATCCTCTTCCAAATCTTTGAAAATTTATAAGATTAATTGCAAGTCTCGAACATCAGGATGCAGTTTTTTACGGTCTCAATGGTCGTAAAATAACTTAAAATTATATGCAATGAAATTAAAATTATGTTTCCTTACCTGAAATTGAAGTAACATTCCTACTGCCAGCACGACACCAATTGAAAGTCCTAAGGAAAATACTCCTAACAGCAAATTCATCATTGTGAGTTCCATCACAGGCTCTGATGGTCTATACAACAAATACCACCGCTGAAAAGAGAGTTTAAATATTTATCACTGTTTTTTTCCCTTAAAAGAACCTCCTCTATCATTGGACTTCGCATAACAATGGTGTAACTGCAGGAACTTGTTTCTCATTTACGGTGTTTATAAATCTCTCCTCTCGTTTTAATTCATCAAAATAGAACAAGCCAACCCTATTTCTTGAAATTTTCACTTAATATTCTTCACCACAACAGAAAAATTAGCACGGTTTTCAGGAAATGATGTTAAGTATGTTTTCATTTAAAAAACTAATTATGACAGAGTCAGTAGCGTTGCTAACCGATTCGTTTTTCTGCAGTTTCACAATCGTTAAGTAATAATAAATTTTATCTCTTTATTTCAATATGTGTTATTTCAGCATTGTCAGAATTACATAATAATTTTCTGCAATTTGATACAAACTGAACTTATTCCGATTTAATCATGAAACATATCCAAGTGAGCTGGCACCTCCCTCTTCCACATAAAAAACGCTTACAAAATTGCATGGGTACTCTAGGTCAAATAGATGATTACCAGATGATTTGCAAATAGAAGTGGTTGAATACCTAAAAGGAACTCCATTTTGTTTTGTACTGTTAGTGGCTACTCTTCATGAGTTATTCCCTTCATCTCCAATTCAAAACGAATAAAGAATGTTCACTTGCACCAATGTTTCTGACTAGACTTACAGAAATATTCTACAGCAAATGGTCCAGGCAATAAAATAAGTGGTGGTCCACCCATTATTTTGCTTCTGCAAACTGAGTGATCTTTAAAATGAATGAATTCATAGAAAATGAGATTCCAGCTGTACTTGAGGGCAGTCAAGCTTTATTTGATACACATGTGTGTTAAATATTTCTCTAATCCTGTACCATTACTTGACTAGTATTGAATTAAGAATAAATACAATGCAAGATGACAGTCTAAACTCTTACCCGATTCAGACCCTTGTAGATGGAGATAACAAGAAGAACTGTAGAGTGGAAACAACCGCAGACAGCAAAGAACAAGAATAAAGTAAAATGAGCATGGTTGGCATAACCAACACAATTATTGATCCATGGACAGTGATGATCCATTTTTAAGACACACCTAGCACCTGAAACAAATGAACAATTGACGCTCAGATACATTATTCATATTTTTAGAGCACGGGGAAGGCACCTTAGATTTCCATCAAAGTATTTACAAAGGTTTCATCGTACATAACTGTTTTCTTTCAATTGGATGCATATTAAGCATGAATCATCGATCATCAATAAAAAAAATAATCATCATTTAGTACAAGAAAATGAAGGTTGTGGATGCACATAGAAAGAAGTAAGAAAAAGTCATAATGGAACAATCATAGATTTATGTGAAATTAACTTGGTAACATTGAAAGCCGAAACACAGACCTCTTGATTAGCTAGTTATGCTCTTAAACATGAATAAACCACTGTGGCTCTTGTGATAGAGGCACATGTCTTTGCTATGGCAAATACTCTTTTTGCCACTTTTTTAAAACAGCATTTTGAAATTTCCATGGCTCTATTGTATAAACTGCAAAACATAGGTCCAGTAGGTTCGTATGAAGAAACTTCAGGGTACAAGCTCATCAAAACCTAGGTGAGGCACTGCGAGACCTCTTTGTAAGTAAGAGATCTCATATTTTCAAGAAACTGCTGATCGATTCATTTGTTGTTTCTCACCATACACGTATCTCCTCATAAGTTAGAGTCCAATCACTTGAAGAAGGTTACTGGAAATTCATTAGTCATAATTTTGATCGTGTAGTTTTTCCTGTTTGAGGGTCAATTTGACAAGGGTGTTGATATGCTGATAAAACTAGATTTTTTGCAAGTATCTGATGGTCTCATGACATTACAAAATATCTCAAAAAAAGCTTTCTGGACTCCAGTTCAGTTCTTCATAAAAAATAAATCCGTTCAAAAATGTATTTGGCATGAACATGATACAAAGTGGCCCAAATAACTCAAAATAGATGTCAACATTAAAGCTAACACAGCTATTATCTTCAAATCTGGTTTTATTACTTATTCAAATTTATGTGATGACTGAAATTTTTAAATAAAACTAAAAAACAAATTGCATACATTTTCTACAATGGTGGGACCTGGGAGCTTTGAAGCCGTCACATGCTTCACAATACTGTAAGAACTGTTCATCCCTGGGAGATTCCTGTGAACAGACAATGAGACAAATTAAGCAACGAAGCAAAAGAAACAAATCAAAAAAGACCAGTGTGAACGTTTGTTATAACATAAGTTGCATCATCATTTAAACTAGCACTATTGAATAAAGACTTCTTTCCATTTTTTTACTTTTTTAAAACAGTTTTGAAATTATTCTAAATGGCTAGTTCTACGCTAAAAACTAGATTAAAGAAAAACAAAAAATAAATGAATAAATAAATAAAAATAAAAAATAAAAAACAGAGCAAAAAAAAATAAAATAAAAGAGAGAATAAAAAGAACAAACATTTCAGAATACAAAGAAACAATTCTGAGAAGAAGACAAAAAATTTTTAAAAAAACCAATAACTTTAAATGGCCAAGTTCTGGAAGCTGATGCTGTTGTAGTCCTCCACACTTTTGTTTTGATCTTAATTTGCAAATGAGAAAGAAAAAAAGTTGATAATCTTACAGGTTTCCATTTGAGAGGAAGAAATCCTGGACCTTCAATGACAGCATTCAGAAAGTTGTAGAAAGCGAGACCACTGAATGTTAGGAAACAAGAGATATTCAAGAATCCACTGAGTGAACTCGTTGGTGGCCACCACATTCTGGTGCAGTAGAAAGTTGTGAACGTAATTAGCTTAATGATACCTAAAATGGAGAAAGGAAAAAAATTAAATTAAACCAAATCAGTGTTCTTGAAATGCTCTAACATTCATCTCGAGATTTATGAGGGTTATCCTAAAAGTGAGTATACTTAGTAGTGCTATAACTTTTTAACAGTTTCATGAAAATAAAGTCGGTAATAAGGGTTTTCTGTGTCATACTCTCAGCTTTTAAAAGAACTATAGAATTTTAAATTTGGTCCACTAGAAGACCTGAAAAGTTGATTTTGGTGAAGCCGCCTACACTCCAAGCAGGTCGAAAATTTCCTTGCACCTAGTGATGTTCACCTTTTTCTGAAACTGAAGTCTCATCATGGTGGCCAGAACTTCAAAACTGATGAAGAGGTTCAAAAGGTGGTCAACAGTTGGTTGCAGAATGAAGATGAGGAGTTCTATGCAGCAAAGATTTGGAAACCGGCTCAATGATACCAGAAATGCATGGAAAAAGGAGGATTCCATGTTGAAAAATTTGGTGAGGTTTTTCTGACAGTGCCTTTTTCTCTACCTTTTTTTTTTACCGCTCTTTCAATAATTTTTTCGGTTAAAATTCTGGCCGAGTAGATGGCTTGAAATTTTGGACCTGCTTGGAGTGGAGGCAGCTTCACAAAATTCAACTTTTTAGGTGTTTTAGAGGACCAAATTTAAAGTTCTATTGCTTGTTAAAAAACTGAGAGTATGACACACAAAACCCTTTTTAGGCACCGATTTTATTTTTATGGAACCACTGAAAAGATAACCATAAAATTTTTTATATTTTCAAGTACAAAATGCTCCAAATTTTAGGGAAATTTTCCTTGGCTCAGTGATTAACAAACTATTTTTTTTTTTTTCTGTTCGCTTTTTGAAAGTGAAACTTGGCGATTCCTTTCAAAGAATACACTTGACTCCTGTATTGGATTTTTGAAGGCAATCAGTGCAAAGCAACATGCTAATCACTGCTCTGCACGTGGAATGTCTGCCAAGGGTGTCTAACTCTAACTCGCTCAATAAATTAATTCCTTTAAGTATTGATAGAATCTTAGAAGAGGTCAATATTATTCTTTCCTGGAGGTGTCATCAGCTAAGTTGATGGGTGTTTACTTTCGATTTGCAAGCGCCAACGACACAGTCGGTCCTCTGCACAAAGCGGCGTTCGCTACTATCCACCTTGAAAACATCCGTCTTATGATCGTATCGTAAAAAAACTACTTATCAGTTATGATTCGCAACTATCATGTGGTTGTGATTTCTGTGTGGCTAAAAATGAAAGTGTTACAAGGTTTGAAAGTATTAAAAAACTTATCTCAGCTTGTGTTCATGCTTCTGCGAAAGTTAGATGTTTTCATGTAGATAGTGGTGATGCGGAAACGCTTGCAAACCGAAAGTAAACAACCGTCAACTTAGCTGACGACACCTCAAAGCCACTCATTAAAAAAATAAAAAAAACCTTGGCGATGTCTACTGAAATTGACCATGTATACAGAAGTGCACAGTAATAAATGTGAGCGCTTCTGGGTGGCTACGTCTAAAGTTGTGCTCTTACTTACATATCACAGCAATTGGACCCCAATGTCCCAGCTTACTGAAAGGGCCAACACACATCTTGAAAAATTTTGAGTGGTTTGCTGGAGACTCAGAGAAAAATTATGAAAGCGAGCGACTAACCAAATACAAAAACGGAATCATTGCACATCAGATAATGCTACATGAGGTTGTGATGCTTCCGCAGTGAAAACGATGGTAAAAATTTAACTGTAAGAGCACGAAATATTAGAAATTTTGAAGGGTTCATTGTGAAACTGAAATTGAGCTAAATCATGCTGAAACCCAAAGAAAGTTTTCTTAAAATAAGAGAATGAAAGTACACCGTACACCACATCTGAGAAACTTTCAGTTTCTTTCTGTTTACAAAACAAATTATTTTTATCATGACTGTCAAGATGCAGACATGAAGGGCAAGGTGACGTCATCTCAATAGAGAACGAAGGCATACGAAGGGAAAACAAACAAACATAACCTAAAAGAAATTGTTCAAAGTGTGAAATCATTCGAATCGTATGTCGGCTAATCGACGGCTACAGAGTATATGTAGTAAAAATTCCAAATTGATCTGTTTTCTATTTATAATGCAGTGAGTGTTTCCTCTGGAAAATATTGAGGGTTGTTAGATTTAAATATTAGTGAGGGTCTATAGGTTATCCATGTAATTCCAGAACATTCAGAATGATCGCAAACAAAATCAATTACTCGTAAGTATGTCTTTCGCTAACCTTTCCAATGTTTATGGCGTAATTTCCTCGTCATTAGTCCAATGTTCATTACAATACATGTTTCCTATCAATACCTATAGATCTATGTGAGATCATTTTGAGACTAGCAGATGGCGCTTGATATGTAGCCATGTGAGTTGTCCCACCTTAGTGTGCAGATTTTTGCCTCGATTCTTCTGCGATTCGAAATCCTCATTATCTTATATTGTACTTTAAATATTCAGAATTTGATCCGCAGGATTAGTGAAGAATGATTCACTATGGCGAAAAACGATTTCTGAAAAAGATAGGTATGCTCACCCTGTTAGCACTGTTATTCTCTGCAATCATATTTCATTTTAATCGAGTTTAGGTACATCTTCATGATCTTTTCTAGGTTTTCTCTGAATATATTTTCTAATTTCAAGGATTGATTCTTCAACAGTCAAGTCATGAATTTAAAAACAAGTAAAAGAAAACATATTTACCATAGGCCAAAAAATAAGAAACACTTAATTATTAAGAACCTCTTATGAACTCTATTCTGGTGCCTCTCTATTCCAGGTTGTCCAGGTTTAAGAAAGTCAGTATTAAGCCTGGGTTACGTTTTATTAGCAACTCCAACACCCTCCTTAAAAATTCAAATGACTCTAATGACGATGGCTCAGGAAGTAGCCCACCAAGAAAAGATTCACTCTCAAAATTATTATTTGAATTGACAGAGGTTTGTATTTGACTTCTTAGTGCATATTGGCCAAAATACATTGGCCTGTAATCATACTTTATGAATGAGCATTGTCAAACTGACAACGTTAACCCACTTGCCTCATTTGACGAGTATACTCATCAGCGTGCGCCTGGGACATATCTCAGTTGATGAGTTAATTAGAGCCATCTGTCAGCGTTGCTATGCGATTGTTTTGGTCATGTTTTTTCGCTTTTCCGACAGATGGCGTTAGTTAACTCATTAACTGAGATATATTCCAGACGCACGCCGAAGAGTATACTCGTCACATGAGACAAATGGGTTAAAAGAGAATTATCTGAAACTAGGACTTTCTCACTTGACTAAAAGTTGCACTCATTTTCTTGAAAATCTGGAAGTCCTGCACTCTTTTTATTTTTCACGCACTTATTTGCATGGACTTCTGTGTGAGGGGTCCAGAAAATGCTAAAACATGCTATGGTTCTTTTATGTGCAAGCAGTCTAGTTGCTTTTTAATTTGTTTTCTAAATTTTTATTCCAGTTCTCTGAAAGCAGGAAATAGTGTGAATTTCTGTGAAAAAAATCAACTATCAAGTTGGTTTTAGTGAAGAGGTTCGCTGAGTGCACTACTTTTTTTGTGCAGAAAAATGTCAAGCGCACTACTTCTTTGTAAAAGCAGGGTCTCTCCTATGCTTTTACTACAAGGGTATTTTTGTGAAAGTAAACTTGATTACTTAATGTAAAAAGAAAGAACTTTCTGCACCCATGCTTCTGTTCGCCACATCAGTGAGTGAATCGCAAATTTTTCCTTTCAAAATTTGCAGACATTCCTCTCCTTTTTTTTCTTTTTACTATTGTGATTGAATAGACGTATGCGAAAACTTCCGATGTCCAACACAGTGTTTCAGGATTTGGGTTGACGATTACGTCGTAACTTAAAGACGCAAGATGGTTTAAGACGTTAGGAATGTAGAAAACTTTTATAAATAATCTCCTAACTACATATAAATAAACGTTCACAAAAGAGATCGATCTTATTCATCAGTGTCATTGGGCAAATGAAACCTCTGCACTTATGAAACCCTGTATTGGACAACGGATGTTTTCTCATGAGTCGATTCAATTATTGATGGGACATAGGGGACATCTTCACTCTTTTACTTGATTCTAAGAACTAACCCAGTGATGGAAGCACAGAGAAAAGAATAGAACAGATAATCGACAAATTCAACCTACATAGGATGATTTGTAAATGTGTGGATGTCAAGTTCTTTAGTGTTGCGGAAAGTTTGCTCAAAGTTTTCAAAGCCTTGCAACCAACAATTCATTCAGCTCATTCTTCTGGATAAAAATCATTCGTTGCTGAGGATTCAAATAGAAATTTGATTTACTTATTAATATACTGGGCTCAAGCTTTTGTGAAACTCCTTAAGTACAAGCGTTAGTCTAATGGATAACACAAAATTGTTTCTGTGTCATCTATATAAACTCTCGTTTATTAGAAAACCCTTTTTTTTTTTTCAAATGAAGCTTGTTATCATTGAGATTAACCGTCTGCCTGTAAAGGGCTGCCATCTTTCCTTTCTTCTGAATCTTTTTTTTCCCTTCTAGAATGCAAAAAAAATTAGTGAGCTGCCTCAACAGCAGAAAATTGCCCTAGCTGAGCCACGAAAAGTGCATAGACAAAAAAGAACACAAGAAGCTGAGGAGAAAAAGAAAGAAGAAGAGGACGAAGAGAAGAAGCCCCTTGGTGAGTGACTTGTTTTAAAGTCTTCTAATTTATATTCCTCTTCTTACTACAAGTCTTGCTGTGATAGAAAAATAATCATTTCTCTGGGTATGATGAGAGACAACCAAGCAACTATTTTTTTATTTTGGCTTTTACTTTGGAGGCTCTTTTGTTTAATGAAAGAACCATGTTATCTATGGATGCATCGCTTTACTTGCTGGTCATATAATCTTAAAACCTTCTGATTGGTGAAAATGAGGGATTATTTTGGGCCGAGTGGAATTCAGAGTTTTGTGAAAGTACTTTGAAGACAAATGATTGCTCATGACTCTCAATAAATAAGATGCCAGTATTTTTTAAATGACATACGGAGTTTCTAATAGTTAGAAGCATTATAAACACCGCATCTGTCTAAAGCCAAGATTTGGTTCCATGATTTCCATGATGTTGATAAATGCAATGCATTTCTCATTGGAGCAGTCAATGCTACGTCACCCTGACTGTGGTCGAGTGAGGGCCAGGCAGGGGAGTGGATTCCAAAAAGATGCTCCGTGACTGCCTGTAAGGATTGGTCTTACAGGAATATGTTCACCAAATCCAAGGTAGAATGTTGCTTAGTTTTTTGTCAAAAAAATGAAACTTGAGGCAAGTGTGATAAGCTAATTCACTAGTATAAGTGATATTTTGTGATGAACAAGAAGAATAAGCAGTAATTTTAAAGCACCCCAAGAATAGTAGAAATTATTTCGAATCTGAGGGCCCCTCCCTCTTGGCCTTAACTAGCAGTGCTCAGTCTTACTTCCTAAGAGAGCCGTTAGCCGCATGACCATTCTCTTGCATCCGCAAAACTTCTGTTGATAATTGCCTCTGTGTGTAGTATTACAATTTTAGTACGGAGTGTTTAAGGCAATGGTTTGCCCATTGATTTGTACTCTCATTTTGCAGAAATTCGTCTTGAAAATGCTGCTAAAAGCGTTGCCCAGGCCATCGGTGGAGATCAAACAAAAACTGAATCGGAACTCCTGAATGCACTGCTGTCATTAAAACCAGATAGAGAAGCGAAACCGATCAAGTGAGTCCTATGATAATCCCTCTTGAATTGTTTATTCATTTCGTTCTGCAGTTAAAAGGCTAAGATGTTACCGAAGTAAATGTTCCCACTATTCTGTTTCTTTAAAGGATTTATTGGTAATAAAAGTAGATTAGTTTTGAAAAAATCTTGTAGGATCTTTTTCGGATTTTCTTGCAATATGCAGTAGAGCCTGCCAAAAAAAGGGCCTGGTTTAGCCCCTTTTTTGGGGAACTTTGGGATTTTGCTCAAATGTGGGCTAACAAAACCCAATGATGAGACAATCCTCTAGAGGCTTGTAACATTCATTTCTGGACATTGAAAGTTTAAGCTTGAGTTCAGAGTTTATTTTGGCAACAAAGGTTTTGCAAAGTTTACATTTTTATTTGCCATTGAAAAATGCTAATAATTTGAAGTTTCTCGGTCAAAAAAACGACTTTAGTTGATCTCTTTTCATTTTCTGAGGAACTGTGACATCAGCTGTTGATTCGGGAAATTTGAAAACGAGTGATATGGACATGGTATTGAAAGTGTGTCTGAAGGAGCAGGTTTCAGACTTTTTGTAAGTGCTCCTTGTAATTCTTGTGTAGTTTTATCCCCACAAAGTCTACTGATTTATGAGAAAAAAAACACTAAGAAGTGGCCCGAATACTGTATGCAACACTACTGATTTATGACTATGTAAGTCAACTGATTTATTTGGACCTCTCGTCAGACTTATGCACAACAGATCCATCATAATTTTTTATTTATTCTGCTGATAGCAGACCCTGTAATTTTTCCCGTGTCGAATTCACTTCTGGCTTTACATCCAAAAGGGAATAGGCGTTATTGACGCATCAAAAATATAAGTAACGAGGGTCGAGGAACAATACCACTTAATTGAAAATTTTGGTGGTGGGTGATATGGTTGGAGACTTTGCCGAATTTTGCAGTATAAAAAATGCAAGCAAATGTTTTTAGTTTATTCCAATCCTGCATAGGAGCGCTGCAATGTGTAAAAAAAATTGCAAATCCAACCTCAAGATTATCACAATGGTGGAGTTTTTTCTTCATACCATAAAATCGGCTGTTTGCAGAAAGGTGGTTTTGTTCTTTAGCCATCGATATGAACCAAAATTATCTCTACTGTTTGGATCTGGCATCGGTTCTGTGTAAAAAAAAAAAAAAAAAAAAAAAAAAAAAAAAAAAAAAAAAACTAAGTAATGTATTGCATAGGAAAGATTAGCTTTCAGTGTATTCAACAGAATGAAGTACCTGAATGAGCAGCTCTCTCCAGCACCTTAGTTTATTTATTGGCATTCTTTTCTTTCTCAGAGATGTGCTCAAAGGTATGAAGACTGAGTCGGCTCGGCCGCGAAGAGAAAAAACAGAAGAACCTCTGAGACGCTCACAGTATGTAAGGGCAGCTCTTGCTGATGCTGGGAGAAGACCTGGAAGAGGAATTCGTGCTGATGCTGGAAGTAGACCTGCTAGAGTTGTTCCTTCAGCGGCTGTACCATGGTATTTTTTCCCCCCTCAGTCAAATTCATATTAGTTCAATAGGCAGAGAAGCGAGTCATACAGTGATGCAGGAATTTTCAAACTTATTTACCTATGAGCTTAGAGCTATCAAGAGGGTTTGTAGTTCAACTTGCAGATTCACAATTCGAGACTTTTTTATTTGAAAATTTGAACTTTATATTAGAATGGTTTATGATTGCAATTTAATGATTTCATTGGAATGCACAGTTCAATTTGTCTTTCTTTTGCCATCAATATCTAAAAGAGGTTTTTAATACTCGCTCTGCGTCTGAAGCAACATTCATCAACACATCATTCATCCTGTATACCCCGCTTCAGTACCATTTTCATTTTTTTCCGGTGAGTTTCAGCAAATCTCAGAGGGCCAAAAACCACACATCGAGAGCCATTTTAGTAAAAAGAACCCCTTACACTTCTTTATAGGGATGTGAACAACAATCGATTTCCATTTTTTTAATAGCATTAAACTCTTTTTTGCATGCTGATCAAAAATCATCATTGCGCCAACTTTCTACGAGATACTATTTCGCCTAATCTGAGGTGAAGTTTCGATGATTACTTGAGTAAGTTAGGCCAGCGCGGTGATATTTATCTTTCAGCATGTGCCAAAAACAAGGAAAACCCAGCAGTCTTATCTTGGATCCCGCGCGCCTTTTTGTTTCACCGTCCAAATCAGATTCTTTTTCTCTCCCACTCGTTTCCTTACCTCTCACCGGCTGGAGGTTTCCTTGCCACGCTGCCTTCATTTACTTAAGGAAATATCAAAACTTCCACCACAGATTGTGCAAAAACGGTGCCTTGTAGGAAGTTGGTGCAATGACAACTTCTGATCAGCATCCGTAGATGAGTTAAATCCTATAAAAAAATAGGAAATCGATTGTGGTACTTATTCCCATAGAGAGTGTGAGGGGTCCTTTGTTTACTGCTTATTAATTGTAAGTACATGGTAAAATCTTTAATTTATGTACAAAATGACATGCATATCTACGAATGTGGCTTTTAGAGAGATGTCCTGATGGAAAGTTTGCCAGAACTATGGACAGCTTTCATCAGCACCTTTGAATATGAAAAATGCGAATCTGGCAACACTTTGACTCATCCTCTCTGCCTCATCTTTATTTGTAATGTGCCAGTATTTAGTTCTCAATTCTTTCATTATACTCTCCTCCTCTCTTTGCTAATTTAATCTTAGTGCAGTTTGGTGTCTTGTCCTAGTTCAAATGTGAAATTTTATTTGTCAGACAATGAAGTCTCTGCAGCTCTTGACAAGATAATTAAATCAATCGAATGAGCTAACTACATAGAAACCTTTTTATATTTCTTTACCAGGCTACCAGAAGATAATGTTTACTCACTATTTGGTGAGAGTCCTGTTGGTATTTTCCCGGCTGATTATAAAAGCACTGCCAAGGATGACCCAGTGAATATTCCTACATGGAGGAGACTGGTAAATGAGGAAATAAAATTTACCGTCACCCACCCACCAAAGAACTACTTTGAGGAAATGATCCAGTGGACAGAACAAGGCAAATTGTGGCTATTTCCAATCGATAATGAACAAGGTATTGTGATGTAGTTTTTTCCTATTTTTAGCAAGAATGTTCCAAGGTTTTTTTTTCTCTCTTCTTTTCCCCAAACATAGATATGATAAAGTGGATAGTGCTTGTCTGATAGAAATTTGCGTCCAACCGAAAGCTTCCGAAGGTTCCCAAAATTAAATTGCATGGTTTGAAAACATTCTGTTCTAGTTCTCATTACAATGACCTTTCAAGGAATTCTGTCCAACGCCTTTCATTCTTAGTATCCTATTTCAATCTATTAGTATTCATGGCAAATTTAAAGCTTCAAAGTTGAGGCATCTTGAATCAAAGGGAGCAAAGTCCATCTTGCTGATGAGCCTCACCATGCTAGTATTCTTACGTAATCTGGAGCTCATAAAAAAAATGGACTTTGCTTCAAGATGCCTCAGTTGGGCTTGATTGAAAGAGGTTGGAAAAATAATTTTTCAAGATAGGAAACGGCATGGTTTCAAGGCTCACAGTTCAATGGTGGTTTGATATGTAATTTACTTATTTGGCCGTCTAGCAAGTAGGACAGTTTTTGTAGCTACAGCAATTGTAGATTCTCGCAATTAAGACAAAGAATACCATGAGGAGCCTGTGGCTCACACAAAAGAATGCTAAACTGCAGGAAGCATGGCTAAAAAACGAACATAGAACCCAAAACGTTTCGATCATTAATGCAGTCATTACCAATTAGATCAAAATGAGAAAGAACAAAATGAAAATCACCCGAAACCTTTATGGCGAGAAAGAAGAATATCTGATCAAGAATTGATGATTCTCTCAATCCTTAATTATTACATATCCTCAAAAATGTTTGATGTGTCTAACATGTTCTGAATGAAATTTTTATTTTGGAACAAGCACTTGCATTCGTGCATAAATAGGTTCATGTACATGAATCAAAACATTGTGTTTACGCTTCAACTCTGCTCAGTGGTCTGTGGGCCGATTATTAAAATTTTGTGTTTGTCCTTGTAGATGCCGAAGGTGAAATGGCGTAGTGCGATTGGTCGGCTAAGTCATTTCACTCGTTTGTCGTCCCTATGTTGGGTTGAATTTACGATATGCTATCAGGAGCTCAAAAGATTCCTTTAGCTTGTCATCACTTTTACCCAACATATACACAACAAAGCAGTGAGAAAGCATATCTGACCAATGACATTTTGCCAGTTCACCTTTGTCATCTACAGCCAGTTACCAAACACAAAATTTCAATAATCGGCCTGCTGCTCTTTTGACTCGATACTATTTTATCATATAAATTGCTGTTGATAACCTACCTATTTATGCAGTTAAGGAGCACTTGTATGATTGAAATTCTCAGATACGCCTCAGCAATTGAAACCTTACTATCAGCTGAATTGTTTTTTTAAATCACCTTCATTTCTGATTCTTATTTGCTTACAGGAATGGAAGAGGAGCAGAAGGTCCATTTCTCTGAACATGTAATGCTACAAGATCACTTTGAGTCCTGGTGTCCTCCTAAAGGCCCCATCCGTCATTTCATGGAATTGGTTTCTGTAGGTTTATCAAAGAACCCTTATTTAACCGTACAAGAAAAAAAAGATCACATTAATTTTTACCGTGATTACTTCAAGAGCAAGAATGCTCTTCTTAAAGAAACAGGTTGCGGCGAAATCAAAGATATCCCGATCCTTGATTCGCCTGAAAATGCAACGGAAATAAGTACCAATTCATAAACGTATGTGTAAGTAGATTCTGTTTTTTTGTATTTTAAATAAAGTTTGTTTTTTATCTTTAAATTTTGGTCTTTAATATTTCTGCTGTGCAAAATCTTATCTACAATCAGCTTCTTATTGGGCAGAGCTTTACAGGGAAGGAAGAACATTATTACTTTCACAAATTACAGAAAAGGTATCATGCACTTACAGTGTAGATCATTGCAGCAAATTATGCCAAATATTTTCTCTCATTTTTTCTTTCCAATGTGAATTTTTTTTTAAAAATATATAGCAGGTACCTAAAAAATTTGATGGACAGGTCATAAATACAGGACCATTCTTTATCTGAAATTAATCTCAAGAAATAGTATATCTCTTGCTGAAGGACCACTATGATTTCTGGTATACTCAACCTACATTAAAAAAAAATGGAATACATATTTTAGTAGATCGTCTGCAGAACCAACAGGTCATTGTCTTTTATTCTCATGAGCCAACAGAGAATGAGTGTGGAATGTCCATCATATGGGTGAGAAAGTTTTTTCCAGTAGTGTAGGGCAGATTTGTGCCCTGTAACAAGATAATCCATTCGTGCAATCTTATCTGGTATCATTTCAATTGCATTTAGCCAAAAGGAACCAGCACGATTACTGTGTCGTAAAAATGTTGCTTTTCCATAATCATCTAAAAAGTCTCTCTGAATAGCAAATAGTTTTTGCTTCTCACCCAAAAATGTTTAATTTTAAAGGAAAATGATTGTGTAAATTTAAGTACCGTACAGATATTGAAAGTAGGTATTTTTAAAAGGAAAGAAGAAGTTGCAAGATTTTAAAAACACTGTAAATGCGCTGGTTCCTTTTTGCTAAATACGGTCCATTTAATACTTATCTTGTAGTGGTAGACTTAGACTGAAATACAAGAATATATGTAGCGTCCAACTGCCAGAGTTGCTAGCAACACCATGGTAGAACTTAAATCAGATAAGTTAGCAGTTATTTAGTTTTGCCCATAGATCGATTTAGGCTCCCTGTGAGGGGAGCTTGACGGATTCTCTATAGCTGAAGGGTTGATTTAGAGGAGAACTCCTGAAACTTCAAACAATTTAAATGGTCTATTTTATGTAACATTTTTAGCAATCTTTGTTTAGGTACTCCAAACATATTCGAAAATTAAAGCTCAAAAACTTTCACAAGCTCTTTTGTTCTCTGTGGTCAACGTTGATTTTCTCTGAAGTTTTACATTTTAATAAATTTTTTAGTGCTTTTGATGAACCTTTAAATACCCATCACTTCGATGTTTCCATAACAATATTCATTTTACTTGCTAGCTGTTCAAAGTAATTTAACCAACTAGTTCTCCAGAATAAATCGATCCAAGACAGAAAATAAAAACAAAGTAAGACTATCCACTCAAACTAAAAAACAATGGGAAGTCAGACGAGGAGTAACTTTTCAGATTGCAATTTTGCCAGTTTGAGTGATGTCTAAAGAATTAAAAATGAACAAACCTAGAATGCAACTTTAAGAGCACGGAACATAACATTAAGCATGGAACATAATGCCAGAAGTATGCTTAATCATGGCAAATTAATAATACACTAGCTGCTTCAGCTCGCTACGCTCGCTTGCGCCGCTAGCCGGGGGCAAGCCCCCTGGACCCCCAGTTACTCGCTCCGCGAGTAACTGTTGGCTCGCTTCGCGAGCTGAATTTTGCTACTACCAGTGCTTAGAGGACTTCCTGGAGGCAAAATGATAAATTCAAAAACAAAGAATAGGAAACTAAAAATTACCTACTTTTAGAAAAAGAAACAACCTTGAAAAATAAATAACACTCCTGGAAAAGAAAATCAGAACACTTTTTGAAAATGTAACGGTGCGAAAGGGTGAAGATAAATCACCAATTCTCTTGGAAGAAGACATGAGCCGACCCCCGACATGAGTGAAACTGCCGTAGGACCCATGCTAGGGTAGATGGGTGACACGTGTTGTGAGCAGGTAGGGATGGGTTTACGTGGAGAGGGAAACGGAAAATCAGAGGGTGGGAGGTCCCCCAACCATATGACTCGTCCAGCGTCAAAAACGCAAATATGTCGTTATCAAATCGAGGTAAATTTTGCAACTTCGGTCGCGCAAATCGAAAAACGAAGGGGTCTTGGCACATCTAAACCCTATGAGCTTTCATTTAAAGCAAATCCGAGGAAAATCGGTCCAGTAGTTTCCGAGATCGAATTAGCACAAACTGTCCAGCGGCAAAAACGCTAATATGTCGTTATCAAATCGAGGTAAATTTTGCAACGTCGGTCAGGCAAATCGAAAAACCAAGGGATGTTGGCACGTCTACAGCGTAAGAGCTTTCATTTAAAACAAATCCGAGGAAAATCGGTCCAGTAGTTTCCGAGATCGAATTAGCACAAACTGTCCAGCGTCAAAAATGCAAATATGTCGTTATCAAATCGAGGTAAATTTTGCAACGTCGGTCGCGCAAATCGAAAACCCAAGGGATGTTGGCACGTCTACAGCGTAAGAGCTTTCATATAAAACAAATCCGAGGAAAATCGGTCCAGTAGTTTCCGAGATCGAATTAGCACAAACTGTCCAGCGTCAAAAATGCAAATATGTCGTTATCAAATCGAGGTAAATTTTGCAACGTCGGTCGCGCAAATCGAAAAACCAAGGGATGTTGGCACGTCTACAGCGTAAGAGCTTTCATATAAAACAAATCCGAGGAAAATCGGTCCAGTAGTTTCCGAGATCGAATTAGCACAAACTGTTGGAGGCCAAAAAAGGCCTTAGGATATTATTATTATTACTCTATATAAAGCTGCCGTTACCACTCACTCTGCCCCCCCTAGATAAAAATTGGCCGAAGCGATTTCCTTTAAAATTGGTACACGCNGAGGAGTAACTTTTCAGATTGCAATTTTGCCAGTTTGAGTCATGTCTAAAGAATTAAAAATGAACAAACCTAGAATGCAACTTTAAGAGCACGGAACATAACATAAAGCATGGAACATAATGCCAGAAGTATTCTTAATCATGGCAAATTAATAATACATGTAAGTACCCATGCTTGTAAAACTTGACATAATAATCAATTAATAGAAATCTAGCATAAAAAGTTCATTGATTAAAAACACAACTTTCAGTAAAACATGAGATCTAAATGGAAAACTCATCTGAAAGTAGAAGGAGAAGAAAAATAACAATGATTCTCAATTTGTCTACATTGGCAGTTCAAGTACAAATAAGTTGATCTAATTTGAGAGGTATGGAGGACAAGACGCACAAGTGCAGTTTTTGCTATTTCAAGAGGTACATATTTACAGTTTCAAAATTACATGGAGCCCTATGGCGGAAAGAAAGTTCACACTGACTTTTTGATGCTCAAAACTTTGAATTCGGAAGCGGATTTTTCACAGAATATACTTTCAAACTAGTTTGAGTTGAGTTCATGAATATCTCAATTTTTTCAAAAACTGCACTTATGCGCCTTGTCCTCCAAGCTCCTCAATTGAGGTTTGATACTAACTATAAGGGCTCCTCGCCTCGAAATCTGATGCAGGGATGTATGAAAGAAATCGCCGTAAATACGGGCGCACGAAACGCTGAAATGAGGCTGAGATCGAATTTACTTTTTTAGAGTCTACGCCGAATTTTGGTTGGCGCACATAGTGGATCGAGGAGAGGTCAGACAAAATTTAGAAACTTTAAATGCTTATAACTCCGTTTATACAAAACTTTGAGGCGCTACAAGTGGTTCCATTGGTTTTCTCGTGAAAATTTCCTTTGATTGCACCCCTTGAAATTTAAGATGCGACAAAAAGAACATAAAAATTAAAATTTGCAGGTAAAAAAGATCATGTCTGATCTCTCTTAGTGACTCGATCCATTGTGCGAAGCCCCTGTTACGATGAATATCGCCAACAGTTTAGGTACTTCATCGGCGCAATGGGTTATGCAAGCGCCCGCAGTTAATATCGTATGCAACGGACACCAAGCGAATTACATCATGACGCCTTGCCGTCCGTGTTGCATACATACTGAAGTGAAGGCGTTTTGATTCTCCAGGCACTCGCCACTCGCCATTTCACCCACGGCGCGGCAGCAGCAAGTGTGCTGCGGGGATCCAAAATCACAGAGGCCTCCTTCAATCCTTCGCTTATACCACAAGGACATCCACTATACGCACGAATAGTTGTACACATGCGCAGGACTTGAGTAATTTCAGAGTTATGGTTTCGATGTAGTGACGTACTAAGCACGAATAGAGCAACTACACGTACCTATACGTGCTTAAAAGATTCGTAATATCAACGAAGAATGGAAGGCGCTCTGTCATTTCGGATCCTTGCAATACAGTTCACCGTGCGCCGGCCGCGAGTGAAGCGATGAGTGCTTCGACAGTCAAAACGCCTTCACGCACTTGCGTATGCAACATGGACATCCGCGGAGCCCGAATAGTTGCATCCAGGCGTTATGATGCCATTTGTTTAGTGTTCGTCGCAGGCGACACTAACTGAGGGCGTTTTGCTTACTTCTCTTTCACCTCAATTTAATGTCAGCGTCGCCTCTGCTGATGGAGTGAACTTATATTACTGATTTTCATCGCGACATTTGCAATTTTCCGAAAAATACATTGATTGTTTAAATGTATTACAACTTTGCCGGTCCTCAAAATTGCACGAAAAGTAGGTATCAAAGCAAGATTTGTAGTTTCCTTTAATCTGTAGTAACGAGTCATATTTTGCTTGGATTTTTTCCTTCTTTTGGAAAAATAGTTTTAACGTTTAACTACGAAATTTTTTTAAAGAGCAATCCTTGAAGCCAGCTTAAAGTTCCCCGCATTAAATATCAGTCAAGGCGTTAACAAAAATCATTAAAGGTTCCTTCTTAAGTTTCCTTTATTCAGGGGCAGGCTCGGACTGGCCATAAATCCAATCTGCCATTGGCAGAAACGCCCCCTTGGCGCGCCAAAAACGCGCCCCTCTGACAGATAGCAAAATATTAGAGGAGAAAAAAAATAACGACCGAAAATATATGTGGAAATTTTCTTAAATAAACGGAAGAAGAGAGAGTTAGAAGAAAAGAAAGGTGCTTTCACGCATGATAGTGATGAACAAGGGTCCAAGAACTACTTTCTGAATTGTGAACACTTTTCTGGGAAATTTTCACCATTTTGGTGACTTACAGGCGCTCTATCATCCCCGTCCTTCATTTGCTATGCGTAACTCCCTTAAAAGCGATGAAAATTGATTTAGACATGCCATAGCATATCTTGGGCAAACTTAACCTTAATTTATCTCTAAATTAAAAAATAAGAGACATCTAAAGTGCAAACGCGATACAACTATTCGCGCAAGATGGATGTCCACATTTCAATATTTCTTACGAAAAATATAAGATGCGATTGCGTGAGTCGTGAACTCGCAATGCTCTGCTCTATGCTACTAGTTTGAAGCACCATCACGAATAAGACAGGCGGAAACAAACACAGTATGGAAATAAAGCTAGGGAAAGGATGCGCGTTCACGACGGCGCAGAGATACAACTATTCGTACTTGATGGACGTCCGTGCTGCATCTGGAAAATTGAAGGCGCGATGACGCGAAGCGTGAGCTCTCAATGCTCTGCTACATGCTGTCAATGAGGTGTCGCTTCGATTCGGGAGAAAAGTTTAAAAAGAGGCCCGAATACGTCTTTCCTGCCTTCGGCTGTTTTGACACTCGTTCTTTCTTCTTTTTTCAGGTTCTTGTCTGATTCTTTTTTAGGAAGGCTTTAATTGCAGACCTACGTCTTAAGCTCGTGTAAACCGCAGCACTAGCTCGGTTTTTTTGGAAATAATGGTGCTCGGATGCGTCTAGTGGCTTTAATTTTTTGTTTTCTCTAATTTCAGAAGTCTGTCGGCTACTTCAATACGTCAATTTTGCAATTTTTACTCTGTACGAACTTGTGCTGCTTTGCCAAAATTTTCTGAGCCCCCCTCCACGTAGGAAATGCCCTACCAGGAAATATCACACTACAACCCTTTAACCAGCCAAGGATCTACGCCCTTAGATGCAAGCCAGTCCGACCCTGTTCAGGGGGATTTGCGCTTTTGAGGTAGGTAATAATCTTGACACTCTCCCTTAGCGCTGATGGTCTATGCGTTTCTTGTTTTTGGGGTTTGCATTCATAGAACTTTGCGCTTTTGGGTACCATCCACCAGCTGCTGTTCCCACAAATAGACTTTACACATTGAGAAGAGATTGTGCAAGAATAAAATTGAAATATTTACATCATTTGGTCAATGAATTCCGATTTTAAATGGTCTTCAGAAGGCGTCTCATACGTGAGAAAGGTATGCAATTTGATGTGCAAGAATATTGCAACTCATTTTCAGTTTGATTGGAATAAAGTCCAACAAAAGGAACCCCTTCAATCAGTGAATAGACAACATGAACAACACTCCGGCACAACAGCAATCCATCCATTTGTAATATGTGCTACTTATGAGAAAAGATGGTGCGGCATGAGGCCTTGACTAGTGGCGTCCTCGTTGGGAAGGAAGACATAATGCCCTACGTGTGCACCAATTAAGCTCTCGACGGATGAATGCACTCGGAACGCGTCTTAACTCACGCGTGTAAATATAATGCACTGCGCGCCTAATTTTACACGAAATGACGTCATCGGGCTAATTTTCGAGTGACTGATATGCAGAGACAACCTGGCTCTCGGACGATGGGCCGGAGGGGTCGGAAGGGAGTGCGAAATAATTGGCGAAAAGATGATAGACAAGCTTTGACAGTGGGATCTGCTTTGTCATAGACTTTGATTCAGTGCATCCGAGCGAAGGAGCTGAGAGCGGGGCCCGCGGGGAGCGGCCTGGCTGGCAGTTTGTCAAGCCGAGGGGAGGTCTGTTATTTAAATTAGGACAATCGCCCGGAGTCAGTTGATATTGTCGCCTTTTCAATTCCGGGGTTTTTATCTCATCCGACTCTTTCCGGCGGCGACCTTTGCCCTTTGCCCCGCGGCGATGCACCTCTGATGCCTCCTGATTGCGCCCAGTCAGCCGGTAGCTGGAAATTCGCGTAGTTTCGCCTGGATACGCGACGCGGGTGAAGTTTCGCGGATTTTCGCGCTTTCTCGGCGGTGGCGGTGTTTCCGAACCCTTCTCACGTCGCGTGACGTCGTTAGCGTGGCCCCCGACCCCTGCTCTCCCCCCTTCCTCCCCCCGCCAAGTGATTCTAGCCCCGCGCGCGGAATACCCCGGAAAATTGGGGTTTGACATGTTTTGTGTATTCCTGTAGGAGGCTCATCCTGGACCGGGATCATGAACAAGCTGCTCAGCATTCTCCTTCAGAAGAGTGACCCGGGTTTCCCGTGGGGTTTCGAAGTCGTCGGAGGGAAGGACAAGAGCGTCCCGTTGACCATACATGTGGTGAGCTTAGTTTTCCTCCTCCATCAGCGGGCTGGTCGTTGAAATTGATAGACAAAGCTATAGACTAAAAATACAAAAATGATATGGAGGGATCCTGTTGGTGGAAGAGAGTGGTTGCAATGGACATAGGAGGTAGGTAATAGACTAACTAACGGCAACTCACGAGAGACGAGATGGTTAGTCCACCTTTTGCTCCCTCAGTCTGTAAGAACCACCCGAATTACCCAATAGGATCGTTCCATACTCCCTATATATTGACGTGTTTATGCTAAAAGGTACTTTGTGCATAGGGTTTGCTTGAGACATAGCTCCTTCTAGCATAAATACGTCCAATCTTCTTTGTCTGTCGTTCTGTTGATCAATTTCAACCATCAGCCCGCAGAAGCTTGCCTTTTTTTCCCCACATGGAGAAAAAACTTCGTGCGTGGGACCCGGAGTTGAGGTCATATGGATCTCTGAAGTTTTTGGATCACGTATCTAAAAACTTAAGGTCCAGCTGCCGAAGTTCGAGTCAAACATCTGAAGTACTTCGATTTATACCGAAGGGTTCGGGTCACACATGTGAAGTACTCCGGTACATACTGAAGTGCCTCGATGTCTGACCCGAACTTCGGCAGCTCGACCTCAAGTTTTCGGATTCGTGATCAGAAAACTTCAGAGATCCATATGACCTTAACTTCAGGTCCCATGCACGAAGTTTTTTTCTTCGTGCATGAGCGAGACAGTCTCATCAACCCTCCTGAAAATGACGAGCTGGGAATGATGTAATAAAGAATGGGCCACCAGACGAGGTCTGAATTACAGAAAAATGTCACGTGTTTTCTTCTTGAAATCATAGGTAGAAATTTGTTCCTACAACAGAAAGTTCGGCAGTCAACTCCTGATGAAAACAGATTTTTGACACAGAATGGAAGGTAGATGTACAAATGACGTCATTTGTATTTTTATCATTGAACCAATGTTCCTTGTAAACATTTGTAGGTAGCTTGTTTAGGAGTTGATTTTCAGACTTCTCATCATGTGCTTCGTCTTTGTAGTGAAATTTTGAAAAGAAAACATGCTGCGTATTGCTTTACCTCATACTTTGTTCACAAGCCCATTATGATAGTCTCGATTATAAGCATTCGTTAAATCTCCACTGATGGGTATCAGTCGAATCTTTACTTAAATCAGTAATCCAAAAATAAATTAAGATGGGACTAAGGCCGCAAACATAAAAACATAAAATAAAAACCCCGGGACGTTTCGGGGTGTCACACTCGCATTTTCAACCGGCCAATAAAAAAAAAAGAAAAAAGGAAAATTGAGAAGAAACAAACCGAGACTCACAATGATAGCGGTGAGAGGCTCGGTTTGTTTATTTTCCTTTTCTTTCTTTTTTTTTTTTGCCGGTTAAAAATGCGTGTGTGACAGGTGTGACATTGTTTTAATTTTTGCGGCCTTAGTCCCATTTTAAGTTGTTTTTGTATTCTCGTTTCGAGCCCATAAAGTTTTTTTTTCCTTTTCTCTTGCATCAATACTGGTAAATCGTCTACATCAGTAAAATCTATCCCATACTCAGCCGCTAACAGGACAGACGCTGAATGTGCGATGTCCGATATCCCACAAACTAATCATTGCGTGGACAAGAAAAATTAAGAAATAAAAAGGAATTATTTTTAATTTTCAATTGACGTAAGCATGGCTCCTGACCAGGAGCAGCATTTTAAGAATTTTTTTCAAATACGTGTAGGTTTAACTTACCATGAAACAAATAGGTTTACGAGTTCCATTTCCTTTTACGATGCCCTGATGCTCCTGATGCACGTTAAATGAGCTTTCGAAAAATGATCGAATGACGTCGACACCTCTACATTAAGAACCTTCTTGACCTCTTCATGTCAATGACCATTGATATCAGAATAAAATCAATGTATATTCATTACTTCTTCACCAAAAAATTACATTAATGTTCAAGATCCCCCTCTCTAACATTTCGTTCAATGCCATGCATTGTTCTCTTCGTAAATTTTGATGGAACGGAGAGTGCATTGTTTAATATCGTAGGTACTGGAGACATTGTTCTCTGACGTACCATCATCAACGGTATATAAATTCATTTTTTTTTTCACATTTTGTTTCCCGTGTAAAGCGTCTACCGGTCTCATTCCAATTAAAGTCAACCAAATCACATCGATATTCGTTAGTTCCATGGTATGTCACTTGATTTTATTTTCGATTCTAACTTCTCCAGAATGTCATCAACTTTGATTTTCACTCGAGGGTATACACTATACAGACCTTCCTAATCTTTAATATGAACTATATCATTTCGTGATGATTTCCCTCAGACTTAAAAAGTGCATGAGGGACACCCAAGGAATAAACGACAAAAATCGCTTCAATGTGAATGATCCTCGTTTTGAGAAAATGAGTGGGAGAAAGTGGTAGGTAATCAGTTATTTTTCGTATTGATGTGTGATTGAGAGGGTGATAGGAGGGTATTGGGAGGGAGGACAGACTGCTGCCCTTGCATTTTTGAATGATCTGTCATCAGTTAGTGTTCTTCACCTCGCAAACATCCAAATTCTTCAATTATTTTGATCAGATAAATCACTAAACAAAAGTTTTATCAAGTTTCCTGTCTCATTGTACTTTGAATAAAACCGAGTATCTACAAACTTATTTGAAAATTTAGTTATCTTCAGAGGCCAATGATCTATTTTGTATCAAAACATTAAAGTACACAAACCTAATTAAAAAGAATATTGCTGTTCCAGTTGATTATTCTCCTTACTGCGTAGGTCTAAGATTGGAAGCTATAACCATAGAGAAATAATGGTAAAACTTTAACTTTCGTTTCCTCTGTCCTTCCCGATTTTACCCAGCTGCTTCTTCTAAGATTTAGATTTTTCACAGATTCGTTTGGCGATGACGTAAACTTTACGCATTACGGGTCAATCAGTAATAACATGATGTAAATTTCCTCATTTAAATTCCTTCGTACATAGGACAGTGCCATCTAGATGGCTCTCAAGTTTCCCCTATATATTTTTCTCTTTTAATTCATATCCACTGTTGGAGGGAAAGGAAGAATCTTAAACTCTCTTGAAAATCTATATAGTTTAAATCAATTAGCAGAAATAATTACGAATCGATCGCACTGCAAAGAGGTGTTGATGCGACAGAAACATGCGAAACTTAATCCACGTAAAATGAATGTTAAATAAAGTCCCTTTTCTTAGTTACAAATGTAAAGGTAGATAGTGTAGCCTCAATAAACTACTGATGAGAGTCGTACGTCTAATCTAAACTTCTAAAGCTGGTACCTCCGCGAATGTGCCGTGTATGTTGTGTTGCAGCTTACGAATATTCAGGAGTTTCGTTCTCATTGGCACACAGCACCGCTCAACAGCCTAGTCGCTTCTCAGCCTTCCTCTAACTTACTCTCCAGTTAGAGGTTAGTATACAATAATTTGCGACTACAGTTTTTTGATAATTATAGTCTCCAATTTTTTAAACGCATATATTTTCTCCTCCAATAGTTTATAGGTTCCCCACGTTCTCTCCTAAGCTTAATGTGCAAATGTTTATTTTTCAAACTCTCATTAAAAAGTGCATTCATCACAACAAAGAGAATCATTTCTTTGGCAGCTATATACTATACCAAGGAGAAAATTGGTCCCTGGGCCCAGCTGGGGGTTGGACTTCTTGGATGCCATCGGGGACACCCCCGCATGTTTTTGTTCTCAAGAAGCACGTATCACTTTGCCTAAATTCGTACCTTGTCGCCTGGGTTCGCTTATGATTGGATTGCTATGATATGGTTCGCCTATGATTTGCCTTCAATCAGACGGCTATGCAAAAAGACTGTCGTGACGCACGAATAGTGGTATCAGAAATTCGCATTAAGATTATGCAGTGGATTGAAGGCGCCCTTCAGTACCGTATCTGAGTGGCCCTGAACTCTGTACAACGATGTTGACCGAGTAGCCCTGTGCTCTGTACGACGATGTTGACCAGGAATGTTCACAGTTTTGGAGTCTTCAATCGAGCCGTAATTTTTTAAAAATGCCCGAAGAACATTGGTTTACGTTCTAAATTTTTTTTTGTCTGTAAGTCCAACAACAGGTTTAAAACACTAATTGCAAAAATACGTATCTCTCGATGAAGTGTCAAATCTTAGTGCCGAAAACGCAAAACTCGGCATTTCTGCCGTATTTTCTAACGGTTCGAAAAAGTATTAAAAATGCTGATGGAGTCTGAAAAATCATTTATTCGCAATATCCTCAAGAATTATTACCCTTCCACTAACAATAAAGAGGAATATAGGCAGTTTTTTTTTACTCTCCTGGAAAATCGTGTTTTTCGAGATACGCACTTCTGCACTTTCACCATCGAACTAGAACCTGTGAAGGAAACGATTCACTTCTTTGAATTGAATCCAACTTTCCTCGGTGTGACAGAAGAAATCCAATCCTAACCATAGATCTTCTCACATTAACCTCTGAATATTTTTTGAACCCCTCTCTCCCATGTCATAAATGCATGTGTGACAGGGTTGAAAAACCGGCACTACACGCCAATTTCGATCGGTGTGTTCATAAAAATTGGGGCCTCACGCCGATTTTAGCCTGACGTCAGGACGTCAGGTTCGGCTAAACCTCTCTCCCCATATCGTTTACTATACATAATATGTTAGGCACTCCTTGAATCTCCTCCCGCCGAGGACCTTGCGGACGGCCTTTCGTCGTTAAGGAATTATTCTCTCAATTTTGAATAATTTTCTGTTTTTTTTTTTTTTTCATTTCTTTCAAAATGTATTCACTTCCATAATAATGTATAAAACCATCAATCCCTAACTTTATCGAGAAAGCCCCTTATTTTCCCAGAGCTTTTGAGGGTAGATCCTGCTCCCGAAAGCTCTACAGCTGGATTTGTATTACAACGCATGTAGCGCGCGATGAGCAGCTGTTTTAATCTGTGGGTATCCTCGTCAGATTTGCATCCGTAAATGATGA